CAAAAGCCCGAGCGACGCATCGAAACTGGGGCGTCGCACCCACCAGCTTTTCTCACGAAGCGAACACGAACCCCTTCTGAAAGGCAAGAGTTGATGAAAACTGAGCATGGGATCCCTGGGTCGTCGTCCTCCTCCTCCTCCTCCTCGAACTCCTCCTGCTGCTCCTCCTCCTCCTCCTCCTCCTCCTCCTCCTCCTCCTCCTCCTCCTCCTCCGTTATCCTCCTCCTCCTCCACTTCCTTCTCTTCGCTCCTCCTCTTCCTCATCATCATCATCGTCATCATCGTCATCATCATCCGTGGCCTTTTTGGTTCAAGCCACTTCGGCTCAAGATGGTGCGATCGGGGCAGACGCCTGGTCCTGTGTGGCTGGCTTTAGCCGTCGCGTCAGTTCTTGGGCCAGCTCCCAATTCGACCAAGCTTTCAGCGAGGCCATCGCGGCCACGGCTCTTTCATATCCATAACCTTTTTCCGACACCCGGCCTCAATCGCCCGATTGGGAGCCCAGCTCACGCGGGCTCGACCACTGGCAGCTGGAGGTGGTGCTCAAGGTGCCGCGCGTGGCGGCGGCGGCAAAGGCGGCAGCACAGGGGGACGACCTGGAGGGGGACAGCCAGGAGGAGGAGGCAGCGGCGGCACCAGCAGCCAGCCCAAGGCCTGGGACTGCCCCTAGTGCGGAGCCAAGAAAAACTGGGGCTCCACAGATACGTGTCGGAGCTGCGGGTATTTCTGGTGGGAGGAAGGATCTGGCGCAAGCTCATGGTGGAATAGCATGTCACAGCTGGACTCCAGGGAACGCCACGAGCTCAACCAGCTGCGCAAAAAGGTCAAGAGGCTCGCGAGCGGCGCTCAGTCCGCAAGTGGCGGTGGGGGTGATGTCGGAGGCGGAGACGGGCAGCAACCACCCAGTAAGGACGAACGAGTACGGCGACATGGCAAGCTACGGAGCGAAATTAAGAAGCTCGCAGGCGTGGATGGCACTGACGAGATCCTCAGTGCCAAGCGAAGGGAGGCGAAGCAGTTGGAACACGAGCTTTCCGAGGAGAAGCCGACGCTAGTCCAACTCAGCGAACTCGAGCGCAAGCAAAAGAACCAGCAGAGCACTTCGGAGGCACTGGAGCACAAGATCTCGGCCACCACGCGGGAGATTGAGAACCTCCAGGTGCAGGAGCTCGAGCTGGAGGGGAAAAGCGACCAGAGCAAGTCCACGGAGACTGAGCTCCAGGCCCTCATCGATGACTTGCTGGACAAGCACCGATGGGAGCGGGAGGGCGCCCTTCAGCTGGCAGGCCCTGCGGCAGGAACAGCAGGGAGGGCAGCCTCGGAACCAGCGGCCGAGCTCTCGGAGGGCGAGCGCGCCACCGCCGTCTTGGCGGCGATCGACCAAGCATCAGGCGTGCTCAACGCAGGGTACGCAGTTCCATGGGATGAACAAGTCTCTGAACGTCGGCGGCAGGCACAACGCGTCGCCTCGGCTGGGGCCGCGGTGGAGCGCGACGGCGCCAGCGGCGACGAACAGGAGCTGGGCGAGGCCGACATGGGCAACATCGTGGACTGCATGATGGGAGGAAGAGGCCGCGGAGGAGGACCCTGCCGCGGGCGGGGGCGCCAACGGCGCCGCAGCTCAAGCCGCCGACCCCGCGGCAGGGGCAGCGGCTCAGCGCAAGCTCCGCACCCAGAAGCTCCTCGCTAGCCTACGTTAAGCGGGGCTGCGGCGACGGGGGAAGGGAGGGTAGCAAGCCCGTCTTCACCATCGTGAGCCTCCACGGCAGCGGCTGGGAGCCATTCGCCGCATTCCTGGGCGAGCAGCAGGACCCCCGGCAGGACCTGGCCACCAAGCTCCACTTGGGCGACGCGCTCTGCATCCAGGAGCACCACCTCAACGGCTACCGCGCCGTCGAGCAGGAGCAGCGGCGCCGCCATGTAGGCTGGGACGCCGTCCTGCCACCAGGAGTCGCTGCCGCGGGCGCTTCGGCGCAGCGGGCCGCCAGCGGAGACACAGGCGCAGCGACGCGCCCGGCTCGCGGCACGCGCGGCCCAGGGGAGCACGGCGACAAGGAGAGCTGCCACGTCTACGACGGCAGGGCCACGATTACCCACATCAACGGCGCGGTGCCAGGAGGTTGCCTACTCGGATCTGCGTTCCTCGACAACGACGACGTAGGAGATACCAGCAAGGCCGCGCCCCAGGAGATCGGGGCCCTCCTCAAGCGCACGGGCAAGCCGCGGGCGCTGGCGGGCGACTGGACCGTCGCGCCCGACAGGCTTCACGAGCGCGCGACCAATTGGCTCGTCAAGATCGGTGGCCACTTCGTCGACACGGGAGCGGGCACCTGCCAGCACCCCTTGTCCAAGCAACCATCGGAGCTGGACTGGCCCATCGTCAGCGCGGAGCTGCTCGACCGGGTGAACTCGCGCAAGCGGTTCGACATGACCGAGCAAGGGTGCGCCAACCAGCGCAGGCCCACATGGCAGCGCAGCTCACCCCCATGTGCTACGGCGACTCGGGCCAGCCGCACATGGCCAAAGGGCCGATGGCATTCCCCAGTGCGACTAGTTTTTTTCGACGGTAGCTCGAATAGAAAATCGATCGCACGCGCCTCGAGCCTCTAGACGAATGCTTCTGGTGCTGATGAAGCTACTGGTTCACATGAAACCTCTGTAGCTGCTCTAACGAGATGAAGTCGAGAAACCGAACATGTGCCCAACAACGCTGCAGAATGTAAATATCGTTTTGTCATAGCTCGAGAAACAGGCCAACCTCAGGTTTCTCGAGCATGTGAACGCAAGTTCACGATGTTGTTGAAACTATTATTTATAAAATATCTGCAGTTGCTCTGAATGTCGAGATCCAGTCGAAACAAATAATATATATATATATATAAATATATATATATATATATATATATGGAGTGCCAATAGTTTTCCAATCACAGCTCGAGTAGCAGACCGATCTCAGGCATCCCGATCCTCCGGACTAATGCCCCTGATGCTGTTGATGCCATTGGTACACTTGTGGAATCCAAAGCCCGGATAGCATGGGCACCCGAAGGGCGTGGAAAACTGACACCGTCGGCAAGCAACGGTCCCGTTGGCCAGGTGCCTTTTGAAGGATAAGTCGCGTCGCTGGCGGTGAGGCGCGTCCGCAAAGTCTCGCACGGTGCGTTCAGCACTGGCCGCATCGCTCGAGCAGGCACCCCTAGCCCGCTCGAAAACATTATGGCGCTCGCGCCCTTCATTTCCCCGCTCTGGTTCGGAAGCGAACCAGTCTCTGGCGCGTCGCGCCTTCAATTACTTCAACTGTTTGCGGGCCTAGCACAGGGGCGCAGGTCTCCCGCGCTCGGGATCGGGCCCGCTACCGTCGGCAATGCAACCGCCCTGTTTGGCCAGGTGCCTGTCGGGGACAAGTTGCGCGGCCGGCGGTGAGGTATGCCCGCGCAGCATGCTCGCAATCTTCTGGCGCTTGCGCAATCCTTTCCCCCCTTTTGTTTCCGCTCGTCTGGCATGGCAACACCCTCAGCGTTGGGCACAGGCCTCTGAAGACTTGCACTGCCTGCGTCGAGCCCGCTTTCTTTGCGGGCGGCCCGCGTCGTAGGATGTGGGCTAGTTTCGAGCGGCACCGTCTCGAGCCTGGCCCATTCTCTTTACGGCGCGCTGCGCCCTCCAAAGTTCGCTGCACGGTGCCGAACCAGGGGTGAAGGCCTGCCCTTACTCAGGATCGGGCTCCGTCGCCAGAGATGCTGTCGCGTATCTGTGTTGTGGCCTCTTTTGAGGTGCTCACTGCTGGCGCCGAGTCATGGTTTTGCTCGGCGGCCCGCGCGATTGCCACGGACGAATATCGTGATCGCTCTCTCGAACAGGGCTCACCACATGTCTGACGCGTCGCGCCTCCTCTTTCCGCTTCAGTTCGGCCTGGGCCCGACCCAGGGGCGCAGGTCCCCCACGCTCGGGATCGGGCCCGATACCGTCGGCAAGGCAACTGTCCTATCTGGCCAGGTGCCTTCGAAGGACAAGTTGCGATGCTGGCGGTGAGGTCTGTTCACTGCTTGGGCGCTCAGCCCGCCGCTCCGCTGTCCTG